AGCAGGAGTGACATTTTAGCTCCATTCAAGTCAGTGTCAAAATTCCTGTTGAGTTCAGCTGGAGCCAAGATTTCACCCTCTGACAGTGCTGACGGGAAATCTAACTAGTGATCTTCAGAAAAATAAGCACAGGCATTGTGCTTTTCTAGGACTATTTTCAATCCATGGGCCATGAATCCTTAGTCTTGTGCACTGCTTTGAAGAGGTCTGCAAAAGATCTCAAAGACAAGGAATTTTTGTGTCAGTACCTTTAAACTTGCTATACAGTGGGCCATGATTCCAAAGGAGAATGTCAAGAGTTGATTACCAAGTTCAAAGTCAGCTTGATCCACTGAAATCCACCTATCTGTGCAGTCCTTGGACTGACACATCTTTCTGGCAGGATCCCCTCAGCTGAACCAATCCTTTGTCACAGAATGTTGTGAATTCAATAAACCACTCTGTGTCCTATGCTACGACTGAGCCACATGGAAACCTCTGCTCTGGCAACTACCAGGTGCCATTGCCAATGGATTAGGATGAAAACAAGGCTTTTTAGAGAAGCTGGTGTAGCTGGGACTTTACAACCCATTTGGTTTTGTAGCAAAGTCAGTACTCCATGCCCAAGATAAATAACAGGTACCAATGTTTCCCTACAGACCTTCAGGTGTCTGGGGTAACTCAGCTGAACTTGAAAAAAGGCTTGAGCTCAAGGGGAAGAAAAAATTCCTGAAGATTAAAAATAAGGTCATTTTTAAGAGGTAAAAGTGTTCTTTTTAGGCTTTAAAATATTTTTCTGTGTGTGTTTTGGTAAGCAGAATTCTTTTGTAAGTTCTTTTCTTTCAGAATGTGGGAGAACTTTTTTTAGAGTGCCTTAAAAAAATGCAGGAGAGGTACTGAGGAATCTTCACATATTCTGTATTGGTTATTAGCGTGGAAAGCCCTTGTGCTTGCAAGAGCAAAGCTCCTGAACATCCCCCTTCAAATCCACTTGTGCAGCCAGGGGCTTCTTGCAGGTCCAAACTAAAGCCACTCCATTTGTAATGCAGGGTTATGGGAGGAATCCTACCCAAATCCTCGATGCTGCTCACACAGCTGACTGAAGGGAAAGGTTCCTGCTTACCTGAGAACTAACCTGGACATTTTAACACATATCACAGTAAAGCATGCCCAAATCATGAGGTAACAGTTGATTTATGGCTATCCAGAGGAGCCTAGAAGTGCACCTTGGGATGGCATGGATAGAAGAGGCAGTTACTTTGCTTTCCCATGTGAAGAATGCTGCTCCTCCCCAGCTGAGCTATCATGGAACGCAGATGACTCTCTGGAGGAAGACTTTGCTGCACATTTGCAGCGTGTTTTAGCTACTATCAACATTTATATTCCACTGGCATTTGACGGTAAGCACTAATTAGCATAATCATCAATGCTTTAAAATTAAAAATTCTTCCAAGAGACACAGGAGGGATTGAAACTGTTTCATTCCCCCAGAGGTAAATCCTTTCCTAAGCTATCTGCTGCACCAAAAGGTTTTATTCTAGAAACATTCCCAAGCTATGCCCAAGAGTAAATGAAACTACAGCAAACTTGTAAACTTGTGTGTGTATGCAGCAAGCAGGCCCTGATTTGACAATTACTACCTGACAAAATGTTGTCACTATTTTCCACTCCTATTTTGTTTTGGCTGCTGCTCTCTGCTGTTGTGTCGCCTTTTGTGTGTGGGCTGCAACAATGAAGAAGTGTCTGTAGAGTTAGAAGTTTTTATACTTCATAGGAAAGATTCTTCTGTCTTCACAGGACAGAAAGAAAAGTGTTAATGACATGTGTAGAGTTTTTCCTCAGCCCCCCCAAATCAGGAGCTGGCCTCAAAAAATCTCAAAAGCCACTGTTTTCTACAGGGTTCCAAAGTGGATTTTTACTCTGGTTCCGACTTACCACAAGAACGCCAAGTTGAATTTCTAGCGTAAATGAACCCCTTTTATGGAGAATAAGATGCCAGGGAAAGCTTGGGGGAACTTTAAGTTTGAAAGGTAACATCTGTACTTTGGAAATGTCCCCTCAGAGTTCATTTTTAAATTTCTACATTGCTGCCTTTGGGAAATGATAGTGGGTCTTACCAGGTGTGGTCCAGGACGGGTATCCTTCATGTGGGTTCTTTGTGGCTCAGAGGATATTCCTCAGCAGGGCCAGAAATCTCCAGGACAGTAATTAACTGTAACGATTGTTCTGTAAGTGGCCAGAGAGACAGATCAGTACTTTTTCCAAAGTACTCTTTGAGAGAGAACCGCTAAAAAATGTAGGTGTTTCTTAAAACAATTGCGTTTAAACTCACAATTCTTGTTATTTCTGCAAAAGACACCACACCCTACAGGGAGCAAGCATAGGGACTCTGCAAGGCACAGAAATCTCCATGAAAATTTCAGAGTCTTCAGGACATTGAACATATGTATTGTCTCTTTGGTATCCTGTTTTTTCAGCAAGATGGACTTAAATTTCATTGGCAGAAATTCTCTCTTTTATCTTTATCTCCTGTTTTGATGTGGTAGCCATGGAGAAAAGCCTCAGATTAGTAACAGTAGGTTGGTGCAGAATAAGAATAACTTTCTGCTTGTATTTAGACTGTAGCAATATTGGGGGCTTTGTTTAATTGGAAATATTGACAGAATAATTATTAGATGCTGCTAGGACACTAATCACCCATCCCATTCCCTTCTATGCACCTTGAGCTGGCAATCCTTAACTTCCCTCTTTTCTGAGGGATGTTTAGGTGGTTTTTACAGGGGAGGGGCTGTCTCTCTCTGACTCCTCCTTTTGAAAACTGGTTAATTCTTCTGGAAGTTGGATTAACACGGGAAGGATGTGCAGCACCAATTCCTGTTCCCTTCCCAAGAGGTGTAGGCTGCACTGTGATGACTTAATAGGTCTAATAATTACATAGGGTCAAAGAGAGGGTACAGCCTCCCTCTAGATTCCACTCATAATCTTCTGAAACATTCAGTGCAATTTGTGTACACGGCAGGATAATCAGGCCCTCACATGGCTCTTGGCATCTTTTTTTCCACCTGTGGGGCAGTTCCAGGTTTATCATTTATCGCTGGAGCATAATCCCCAGACTGCATAGAAGAGGGATTTTTGGGAGAGGCTAATAAGCAGTGTGAGCCAGGAGATGCAACAATTACAGGTGTCTCACACAGAAGGACAGTGTGTCCTGCTGCTGCCTCAGCCTGAGGGCACAAACCCAGCTCTTTTCTTAACCCTACTTTGCCACCAAACCCAGGTATACCCAAATCATAAGCTAAGTTTCCTACTACCTACTTTGATTTCTTTTTTAAACAGCAGCATCTCTGGAGGAAATGGAAAGTACTCACAGTTTTTTTTATTTATTTCTTGCAAGCTGCAGCAGCAGGTCAGGAAACTGGACACTGTATGAAAATCTGCAAGGTGAAGATTTCAAGGTTAAAGCTTCTGAGGAATGTGATTAGCACGGACTGAAAAATGGGATTGGTGAAATGTGGTGGCACTTCACCACTTATTACCTTGTTGCATAGTGCTTGCAGTGCTTGTCTAAGAAGCGTCTGCAAAGCCTCAGGTCTCTCTCTTCAGAAACCACTGCATAGTTCCCACACTTTCCCTTTTGCCTCACTTCATTATGTAACCCTATAGTGTGTGTAGCATACAAGCTGAAAAACTATGCACAGATTCCAACATTTTTCACTGTCTTCCCATTTCCTTGTATAGGAAAAAGCTGAAATAACACCAGTGCTGGTTTTACACCGCTTTTGTTTCTTCCCTTATGGAAACAGCAGGATGCAGGCTGGCGATATAGAGGGACCATATATGGTCCTGGGAGCCCATCGGAGCGCGGCGCGGAGCTTCTCCCGGGAGCCCGGCGATCCCTCTCCCCTCAGGAGATCTCTCTCCCCTCAGGAAACCACTGAGGGAACAGCGAGAGCGGCACCAGCGGATGTGACAGCAGCGCAGGCTGCTCTGGGAGGGACCGCCCCCTCCCGGCCACCGCCAATCCGCTCTCCGCTTGCAACAGGACTGACGTCGATTCCAACCAGTGATACTGCCGCTCCCACCACATGGACCCCACCTCTTATCTCAGTTGGTCAGATAACTTGTCAATCGTCAGCGAAGTCCCGCCTCTTTCCGGCGGGGGAAATGCTAGGTAGGAAGGGTGGAGGGGGAGAGAAGAAAGGGAAAGGAGCCAATGAGACACTAGAGACGGGTAGATTGACAGATGGACGGACCAATCATCGCCCTCCTTCCCCCCGCCGCTCCTTCCCTCCCTCGCGGGCGGCGGGGCAGAGGGGGCGCTCCTCCCGCACCTTCCCCGTTGGTCTATCCCACTCCGGGCCGGGCGGGCTGGGTTGAGTGAGCGGCTCGGACCATTGCTCGCGGCGGGCGGGGGGGGCGCGGGCGAGGCGGAGGAGGAAGGAGCCGGCGAAGGAGGCGGGGGGGCGGTTTAAAGGGACAAGAGCCGTGCGGGCGCCGGCGGGGGAAGCCGGAGCGGCGGCGGGCGGGGACTCGCCTCCTTCCCCACACACGCCTGCTCGCACCGCGGCCGGGGTCGCCGCCGCCAGCGCCCCCATCCCCTCCCTTCCCCTCCACCCGCCGCTTCCACAGCGGCCTCTATGAGGTAGAAGGGAGCGGCGGCCACTCCGGGGGCGGCAGCGGCCGCTACAGCCGCCGCCTCCTCCTTCTCCTCGCCTCAGAGCGCCCCATCTTTGTGTGTGCGGGAGAAGGGCGGGAGGGAGTGCGCGCTGCCCGCCCGCCGCGCTTTGTTCGGAGCCGGGGGGCCGTGGCGGAGCCCCGGCTCTATGTGCCAGCGGCTCCCCGGCGGCGGCGGCGTGAGGGGCCGGAGCCCCTGAGGGCGGGGGGGCCCCGGCCCGTGTCGGTGCTGCGGGGCGGGGGAAGGGGCCGGCTCGCTGCCCGCCGGCCCGGCCCGTGTGCGGGCGGATTGATGTGGGGGGGTCTGACATGAGTCCGCCGGCGGCCGGGTGCTGCCATGTGACCGGCTTCAAGGTGGAGAACTGGAAGCAGAACCTGCGGGCGATTTACCAGTGCTTCGTGTGGAGCGGCTCGGCCGAGACCAGGAAGCGCAAGGTACCGGGGGCGGCTCGCATCCACCCCCCTTCCCTTCCCTTCCCTCCCTCCTTCCCTCCCTCTCCGACCCACCCGCCGCCGCCTCGGGGAGGGGACGGGTCCGGTCCCCCTCTAGCCCTCCCTCCTTCCCTCCCCACGGGGCAGGTGGGCCCGAGCTCCCGCACGCGGTTCTGGGGGGAGGGAGGAGGAAGCGCTCGGTGCCTCCGGGATGGCGACGGGGGGCACCGGGGATGGAAGAGGGAACCAGCCCCGGCGGGGCCTCCCTCGCTTGCCACCTGCCCCGGCGGCTTTTCCGCAGCGGGGCTGTTCCGCAGCGCCGCCGCTTCCTCCTCCTCCTTCTCCTCCTCCTCCCGGAGGTTTCCCGGAATACCGGGGGGAGGGGAGGCCCGGGGCACCGGGCACGTCCGGCCTGTGGCGGAGCTTTGTGGAGCCCCGCGGGGCCGCGCCCGAGCTCGGGGGGCTGCGCGGAGCACAATGGCTGGGAGCGGGTCCCGACGCCGGGGGCTGCGGCTGGCTCGGTTATATGTGTGTTTTTCCTTAAGGAAAAAAAAAAAAAAAAGCTGCTCGTGCTGATAATCCACTTGGAAAAGGGGATTCCTGCTCTGGTGGGGCGGGGGGAAGGAACTGGCTCAGCCTGGAGTACAGGGAAAGGCAGGAGGGGTTTGTTCAGGGAGCTGTTGGCGCCTGGGAAAAATTCCTGTAAGCCAGGCAAAAAGCAGGAAGAGTGCTTTTCCCTACCTATCTCCTATAATAACATCCTTGTCCACATGCATGTTTCTGGAGGGCTTCTCTCTGCACTGTGCAACTAATTACTGTTTTTCCCTAGAATCAACTAGTTTTTACTTCAAAGTGACTTGGCAGATTTCTGTCAGTCGTCGCATTGGTGACTGAGGAGGGGAAGGCAGCAGCTACACGGAGCAAAACTTGGGGTTTGGGACAGCATGGATTGTGTTTTTGTTGGAGCAACCCATTGAAAACTTTCTGATCCCCGTGCTTTGCATTAAGCTACTCAGCTTATTATTCGTAATAGAACTAGAGCATGAAGGATGGACTTAAAGGGTGAGGTGCCAAACCATTTTTCTGTGTTCAGTTCATGTTCTCAAGATAATCAAATTTCCCAAATTTTACCTAAAGAGGAAAAATTGCAATCTGAGAAGAAATACGTTGTAAATTAATTTAATTATTTGATAGCCCTGCAAAATATGGCCAGACTTGTTCTTAAATATCTTATAATTCCCTACAGGTCAGTATTATGAAGTATATTAGTCAAAATCTGGGTTTATTTAGCCTATAGCATGTTAAAATGCAAATTTGGATATAGTAGATGGTGCTTTCAACTTAAATGGAGAAAAATATTGTATATGTGCTGTTGAAGTAAAAAATGGCAAGTGAGGTATGGAGGCATCTCAGACAAATATAAAGCAAGTGCTGTGTGGAAGAATGAAAATAAAATTTCATTAGCAAAATTACCTTTTTCTAAATGTGGAGCATCCTGTGTAACCTGCATACCTCTTTTGTGCTGCAACAGCTTTTTCCTTCCGAAATCTGATCTAGGGATGTGTTCATCATTGCTTGAGAAAACAGCTGGAAATACAGAATATTCCATTGTAATCAATCTGTTCTCACTTCCTCTTTGCACAACCAGGCTCATAAAGCAGAACAGGATTATTTCAAATTGTATTGTCAGCCCAGCGAAAACATCAGTTTTCCTAATACACACTAAAAATTCCACCCCCCCCTTTTTTCTTTTAAGCAGGTTCCCAGTATGAAAACAGTTGGGTTTCTGAATCCAGTCCACCTGAATTATGTGGGTGTACATGATCAATATAAGGGAACATTTTGGATAGTTAAAATGGGATTCAATGCCCTGTCTATGTTCATAAGGATTGAAGAATGTCTCTAAATGACAGTTATGGTACTTTATTCATCCCTCATGTATGTGCTCTTGAGACCTTCTTCCATGGAATTTTAATCCACTGAAATTCTCTGTTCATATGTATGCATTACAGTTTTACATGAAAAATTAGAAAAATGGTGTTTTCTGTTTGGTGGCATATTTATAGTCTAATAACCAGAAATAAAATTACCTAGATAGTCCATATAACTGGAAAACAATCCTTTGTCCTTTAATAGTTTATATACACATACATTATGTATATGTGCGTGTATATATATATATTCTAGGAGCAAGCTGTGACTCCTTAAGAATATATTTATTGGTGAAGATTCTTCTTAATCCTAATCATCAAAATTATGAGGCTAAATTAAACGTTTATTAACAAGTGATATTCTTTTTATTGCATGATCAAGGACTGTCACATTATACGTTTATCACAGGAAACATTGCATACATATAACTGATCTTCATGGAAGGCAGTGGGTAATTTAGCTGTTGTTCAGATGAAGGTAGGTGTAAAAATGCCTTGGCTGTTGGTGAGAGCCAGATGTAAATGGTTCTGGTTCTACAATGGTAACTACTATCCCTCCTAAGCCTGTCTTAAAAATCCAGGGAGCAGTGGGAACTGCAGGGGGCAGAAAGGGTCCATTCTCCTGCTGTACCTACACTGTGTTCTGCCTTGGCAGACCATTTTAGTGCTGTGCTATTTGGTTTTAATACGCACCTTTTCTGTGAATAAGCTTTTACGAGCTCCAGCTCGCGGTTCAGTTTGCTTTACAGCCAGTGCTTCGAGCAGAATGGCTCTAAAGCCTGGTTTATAGTGGGAAAGCTGTCTCCTGAACGTGTATTTCAATCCTCAGTCAGAACCAAGAGGTAATTATGTATGTCTTTGTAGGCACTGGGATTCTGGTGAAGATTTTCGGAATGTGTTTGCTCCCGAAGCATTGGCTATGCCAGGATTTGAGCTGTCATCACGGTGCATTGTTGTATCCACATGGAGGAGTGAGGCTGTGACTTGCCTCATCTCACTGCATCTTGGCCAAACTCAAGTGCAGCTCTTGTACAAGCTGTTCTAGGCACAGGGCTTGCTGTGGTGTAATTGTGTTGCTGGTGGTGAAGCCTAAGCAAAGACAAAACTGTCACGCTGGAGAGTGGAACAGAAGAGGGAGAAATCCGAAGACTGACTCTTGAAATTGTGGTTATTGTGATTAAAAGTTGGAGCTAGGTTTTAGGGCTCAAGTTGTCTGCAAAGTGACCCAGAGTTAGGGTGGACTGTCTCATTGTTGGGACTTTGACTTGTAACTCTTGATTTTTAATTTGCTGTAGTTAGAATCTGTTTAATAACCTGATGGCAAAGCTTGTGTTTCTGTAGGTCATGGACTTTACCTTGAATATTTTGATTTGAAAATTACCTCACACTTAATTAAGTAGCACTCTAGAAGAGGTCCTTAAATTTGTCACCACTACTCCCCATTCAGGAATTACGGAGATGATGCTGAAAAGTCCTGTGCCAGAACTTCATGTCAGCTTTTTCCATTTTTTCTGTAGGGTCACACTTGAAACACTTGGCTTATTCCTTTAGAATTACAGATGAGAAAAATCTGTTTTGCACTGCTGAATGTAGCTTTTGTCCCCATCAGAGAGCAATTACACATGTAGATGCATCTTTGTGTTCAGGACTTGGTAAGTAATGGTTTCATTGCTGGAAGGGCAACTGAATTTATGATTAAATTCCCTCTTCCTGGACTATACACCTTGGAGGAAAACTGTCTCATTCTGAATGGTTCTTGCTATCACTGCTCTGAAAAGGCTCTTGATGATAAAAGTAAACTGGTCATTGTGACCACAGTTGTGATATGCACAAGGTTCTGTGTGGAATTTCAGAATGTTTGTTCAGTGTTTCAGCCAATAGATCAAAGAATAATTGCCTGTCAGGGGCTGTGCACTCTCACTGACAGCAGCTGCATTCTGGCATATTTCTGCCTGTTTGAGAGCTTCTCTTGTTTTTCCCATTGTTCTCTCTTTACATGGGTCCTGCAGACCAGTTGATACCCTTTCAGATATGAAGAAACATTTGCTTTTATAGGTGATGACTTTTTGTCAGGTATCATTCTCCCCATGAACTTGTGAGTTCAGTGTGTGTCTCCTTGTAATATTTTGACAGATAATCAGTTCTTAGACTTAAAAATGAAATGACTGGTTCATTTCCTAACTTTCAAAGTAGAAAAAGCTTAAAATAACTGCCGAGTCATGTTTTCAGTAGTAAGTACTGTGGTTCACAGTCTAAATCAGTGTGTCATGTTCTTGCTAAAGTGACCTTGCAGTCTTCAGGGTAAGCTGTTGGTGGAACTTCTCATCTCGTGCCTGTTGAGGCAAGTTTTCTCCCCAAGGGCCTTGCCCCATGTACTTGTCCAGGAACAGGGAGGTGTTGCTTAGGTGATTTGCTTTGTACTGTAACAGATGGGTCAGGAACCTCACCAGGCTGTGCCACCTTCACAGGCTCGGTGTTTGGATTGCTTAAATTAATGAGGAAATCTTAGCTTGTTTTTCTTTAACGTTTTTAGCGTGTGCATCAAACTTCTGGATTGCAAATCCTGTGGAGCATTTGAAAGAGGAGTCCAGGATTCAAGAAGCATGTCTCTTTTTCAGCTGCGTTCTCTGCTTTGGCTGCCTAAGTGAGCTGTCTGATTGACTCAGGAAGGATGTTCTTCTTTGCCATGTGCTGTGGGAACTGCCTTCTCCCTGAAAGCCCATGAGAAGTGTCAAAGTCAGCTGCAAGCTTCATTGTTCAGGAGGTCTCCAGTTTCATACCTGAGCAATCTTCCTTAGTTCTTAACCACTAAGGATTAAAAAGATCCTTAGACCTGCTGAAGGTAATGTTTTCTTTCCTCTCAGTGTGAAGACACGACCTTTGGTGTGAGAGACACCCAGAAATTTTAGCTCTGTACCCAGTGGAGCATTGTGTATGTGGGACATGCCAGATTGAGAATGATCCACTGAGTTAATGTCTCTGGTGTTGAAGCACATAATACGAGACCTTCCTCTTCCTAGTGGTGCTAATCCCTATTTTGTATCCTGTACCATGTTTTTTTAAAATTATTTATTGGTTTCTGGGCCAAGAATTGGGAATTAGTTTTGCACTGTGAACTTGAAGGTAGCAATTCTTAAGTTGTGGGATCTGAACCATCAGGACTTCTCTGTTTTTTAACGTGGATGGGAGAGATAGTAAATGGAGTTTTCTCCCTGCTTGTGTTAGTTCCCTGTTATAGGAAAGAAGATGGACTGCACAAGCGGATGAAGGCAAAAATAGGGATATATTGCGCAAGAGGGCTTATTTCTTTTCTTATGTAGTCTTATCAGCAGTCAAAGGTTTGCTCATAACCAAGCTGTTTGTCAGAGTAGTTCTAGCATCTCTTTAATTTTGTGTGCAGTCAATGATTTTATTCACTTAATGCTGAAAGCTTTTAAACTGAAATGACAGCAAGTAGTGTGAAGGTGAGCAGGGTGGAATGGCATTGTATGATTTGCTGGACTATCTGTTGAGCTTTATTTTAAGCCATCAAAGCTTTAAACCCCAAACAAAGGTTAGGTGATAGCCTCATTTTTGTTTCAAGTCTTAATCTGTGTTGAGGTGAAACCAGAGCTGCAAATTGCTTGCAGACTCTCCTTTCATTTGAGGATTTTCAGTTTCAGTAACTAGTGAAACAAATTTAGAGGCAAATGTTACTTACGGACTGGTAGTGGAAGTTTTCTGCTCGTGAATTGCTGACTTCCCTTCTCCTGAATTACTGCTCTTTGAATTGAGAAAAAAAAAGTTTTCCTTTGGGATGGACTCTGGGGATCCTTCTTCCTAACAAATGCTCTTGCAGCTGTTAGTTTGATTCCCAGTGGTGGCTGATTTGTTTAAACCAGAGAAAGATTAACTTGGTTTAAAACCTTGTGTTTCTTGCATTAAGTCAAGCACCTACAATTTTTCCTGTTCTTGTGCAGATCTATGAATTCTTATGAAGAAATTGGTTTCTTTTTGTCTTTTTCCTGGTAGATATAGGGCTTTTTTAATTTTTCCTTTTCTTTTTATCAGCCACACCTTTCTGTTTCACTTGACTGACAACTACTTTAAAACAATGGGTTTGGGTTTTTTATTACTCATATTTCCACGATTCTCCAAGTATTTGTAATGGGTCTGTAACCCACAGCAGCATCCAAGGTGAGGAGATACATCTGTCTTCTTATTATACATCAGGTATAGTGGCATCAGGAGAAAGGTAGTTGGAAGGTGACCCATATGCATTTCACTGTCCTGTTCAAAACATAATTACATTTTTTCCCCCACCATGCAAAGAGCCACTGTTAGAACCTTTCTAGACATGGACAGAAAGAGCTGCCTAGAGCCACTGTCTTCAGTCTCTTGTTAACCTATGGACAATGGAGCAAGTGAGTGAAATGTTATAATGACATTACAGTTTATTCTCTTATCCTGGACTTGTCAGCAAGCAGTGTTGGAGCGTAGGGAGAGCCATATGTTACCCGAGAGGCCTGAATTGGGAACCTTTCCTTAGCAGAAACAGTTCTAGAAGCTGATAGATCTGTTCTGACTGGATGAAAGCTCTGCCTTGGTAGTTGTATTCTCTTACATATTGATTTGGCAGTCCTTTATGTACACTCGGCTTAATTCAAGCTAAGAACTTTGCTGCATTAGCTGGTAATGGAATCAATGTTGTAATGAGTTACTCTTTGCAAAATTAACCTGCATTCTGTTTGTTTCAAACCACGTTTTTTTCCAAGGAATGGGACCACATAATGCAACTGGCACAGCAGCTCAAGAACGATCTGTAGTTTCCTTTAGTGCTGGAGCAGCTGCCATGGTGCTGATCTTTCTGACTGAAGAGAAAGAATCATTTTATCTGTCTCGAGACCTATTTGAGGATCTGTAAAGTGAACTGTTACCAGACACCAGTTGACTCAAAGTAACCTGAGATTCACTTTATCAGTTGATAACTGATTAGCAGAAAGCAGTCTGTCCTGTCACATTCTTTTGTGTGTGGGATACAGCAAATACCCTACTTTAGATTTTCCATTTCTCTACTTAACTAGAATGTTCTTTAGGGTTTGGTTTTATTTTTTCTAAAATCTTTCAGTGATATGTAACACTAATATAAAACCCATCATTTTTTTTTTGCTTGTCTCTGCTACTTTTAAAGTTGGTAAAGAGAACTTTTTCCCCTCCTCTTATTCTTCCTTTCCTGTGTTTAATGGAGCTTGAAATTAACGTGGTTCTTCTTGTCTACCTCTTGCACAGTATCACTGGTGATGTCAGCATATCCTTGGTGGGAAGTATATCCGTGAAGATCTACAGTGCACTAAATTTGTCATTGAATACAAAAAATGGGTATTAGACAAGGTGAAACTCGAAAAAAAGTGGATATTGGTAACAATAGTTGATTGCAACACTACTTAAAATGTAGTGCCTTCTTAAGGTAACTGTTGAGGCTAGTGCAAGTTTTCATATCCTGTCACGAATTCTGACATTAAACATGACAAATCCATTAAATATCCTCATATTCAAAGTAGTGGTGAGAGGCAGCTCAATAACTGACAGCGCTTAGTAGGAAGTCTGAAGACAGTGGGATTTCACTGAGCTTAAATGGTTTTGTCCTTGTACCATGCTGGTTTTGCCATGGTTTGAACACACAGCTGAGCTCTTCTGCATGTACACATAAGATGTGAAAATACAACTATTCATACAATCAGTGAGTTGTGTTTATGTAGAATTAAGATGCAGATATTCTTAATCTGCATTTCATTCAAGAGAACATGGGAATATCTCCTCTTTGTCATTAGTGCCTTCATCTGGAGTTCTGTGTTGCAGCTCTTCCCTAGTATATTAAACCAAGTTTCCATCCATGTATTAATACATAGTTTAAAAAGTAGTATATTCAAAAATCACCTAGTTATTAGTCCCTTTCTTTTTCTTAAACACGTAAAAAAGCCTGCAGTGTTTGAATGTAGTTTAGTGATGGAGATGATGGAGTATCAAACACCCATGTGGCACTGAGTTCCATTTGCCTCGCTTGTCACTCAGAAGTTCATGCATCCAAGTAGCCTCTTTTAAATAGGGTTTGGCTTTGGATTCATCTAACTGAATTGACTGCCAGGGCTTTTATATGTATGTTTTGCTTCTGTTTTTAAAGGGCTTTTGTTTTTGCATCAAGTACAGACTTGAATTACTTCAGTGTTTATCAGCACAAGAAGAGAAAGCAGCAATTTATAAGCTTTATTTTTGCCTACCTCCCCCTTGCCAACTTCTATTTACAAAGTATCTTTCCCTCCTTGTATCTTTGTGCAACCTGATGTTATTTCACAAAGTTTGTCTAATTACAGTTTGTGCTTGTGTCCTCTGCAATCAGCCTCGTTATTGCATTGCAAGTCAGATTTGAAGGGACCTTGTCTACAATATACTTGGTAAATAAAGGTGAGATTTATTGCACAGCAGATGTATGACAGCTCAGTAAGTGCAGACAGCTGAGATAGCTGACTGATTTCAGTACCTCGTTTGTGTTAGGTGAGCCTTTGTGACCCTCTGCCCTCCAGGGACAAATGCAAAATTTGTCTTAAGCTTTTATGTTTTTCTTTGCTGTGCTTCATTATTTTCATATTACTGCTCAGTTTTGCTCTAAATGGATCTCTGTCCTGTTGGCAACTGGTGACCAGGGTGAAGCTCTATTCACATTG